CCTCCCTTATTCATGAAGTCAGACTAATTCAAACTTTCACCGGAACCACACGGGATGTAATGTTCTAGAAGACCAGACTAATAGTGCTTCCACCACTCCCGAACGTCCATTACTTGGCCACTGGCTGACATATGATTTATGCCACAAACTTATGGAAATACACCTTTAATGGGAAAGTTTCTCATAGCTTCCAGTTTAACACTTACGTCTTCCTCATTTAAGAGATGCAGTCTGTGGAAATTCTACCTGGTAGTGCTTATCCAGCCATTGGATGGGGCCCTGAAAGTTGCACCATGTCTTATTACCACACACTTTGCTGACCAATTGGCTCCAGTACTTACTCTCTTATATATCACTTCTTGGCTGTCCAAGAGAGCTAACCCTCTGCTCCCCATCCTGGTGGAACTGACATATTGGATGGGGTGGAAGGCTCACCACGCGAACAACTTTGCTAACATCTGCTCCGAATGAGCTGGATCCAGACTGCAGCCTACCTGTGCTGTGGTGGGCCTTTAAGATAAGTGAGGCTTAAACATGCTAACCGTTGCCCAAGGGAACATCTGCACCATGTTCAAAGGATGCAGGGTTTGGGTCAATTGTAGTGGGTGGGTACAACACCACAGCCAACATTTCTTAAGGCAATTCCAGGCCCAAGCAGAACAGGGCTGAATGTTTTTGCCTGGTTGCTGATAACTCATTGGCCCTACACTTTCCAAACTTGTCGCGCCCACGTTTCTTATCGTCCGGCGATAAGAGGCAGACGCGAGTGAAGTCTTCTGCGGTAAAATTTATTGTGCGCACCAAGATGAGGAAGAGGAAGGGGGGCAACCCCGGCAGGCTTTCTGCTCTTATGTGCTGACTGGCCCCGCCTCCGCCGATGATAGGTCGGCGTCATGATCACGCAGGGTCCTGGGCGACTGGATTCGTCAGTCCCCAGTGTTCACGTGCCGGCCACGCCGCAGCTCACTGCGCATGCGCTAGTACTGCGAAGGCTACGTGACTCTCCACCACGCATGAAGGTGTGGCTTCTCCGGCCGGCGCCATTTTAGGCACAGCATGTGGCCAGTGCATACAGATGCGGCTTGCAACACAAACTCATACTAATTCTTTATGGACCATGTATCTTTAATGCCTTTGTCCATTTTGTTGCTAATAGAGTACGTGCTATCCAGCTCCAGTCGGTGATAAGGGATCCAACCTATCCCATCAGACAATACAATCATCCACCTAGATTGAACAGGGCAATCTTTCCTTGGGCCATTTTCAAACACCATGGGACAGACAGCAAGAGAATATTTAACTTAGTTCTATGCCAGCAAGAAGAAACTACAGACGCTTAATTTCCACCCATGTCCCCGCTGTATGACTTACGAGTTAATTCTCTGGAGGGAGGAATATTAGGCGAGGCAGAGAGACAAATATGAGCCCAAGTGTGTAAGAGGAAAAAATGCAAAGCTCATGCAGGAGGGGATTTGCATGGATTGAAAGCAACCCAATGCTTGCAATTCAAAATTCTTGCCCAATATCCTTCCAGGAGAGGTCCCATGCCCAGGGACCTTCCTGCTTGGCAACATTCCATAAGTTCTGTGCCCCAGGAATCTTCCTGCCTAATACCATTGCAGCAGAGGGAGGAAGGAAATTGGCAGGATAAATTGATCTGTATCCGTAAGAACTCCAGTCTCATATATACATACACAGGGCACTCAGTCCTTTGCCTGGCTGCCTGCCTCGTCTGTCAGGTTTAAGCCTCGTGAAACGTTTACTAGCTTGCTTACTGCCCATCTTTGTTTTCTTATCTGGATGTTTTCCTTTGGGGAGACAAGGCCTGAAGATGACTCCAGTCTTATTGAACCACAGACTGAAGTTTCTCATTCACTTAATCACTCCATGTGTATTTACCATGCACCTGCTTCCTAGGTAGTTTTTGGAGAGTAAAGAGATCCATGCAGATCCACCATGCAGATCTCATTATCTGGAGGAGACAGACTTGAAAATGAATAGTGACTGTACGTTGAGGTGAGTCTCACATGAGTGTTTAAAGTGCTGCAGGGGGAGTGAGTCTTTAGTGGTAAGAACACCTGTGACCTACATTGGCGTGCATGTATCTGATTGCTGACGCATTTCCTGCCTTGCGTATTCAGGGATGTAGCAACAATAGCTCAAGTAATTGGATTTCTCTCAACACAAGCATGGAGGAAAGAGCCCTGCCTGCGTTGGTGGGAGTGGGTCTACAGAAAGCTTCCGAGAAGGCAGAGCGGCTGTTATAGAATCCATTAGATGCTAACTGAGTGCTTGCTGCCTTACAAACTCTCCTCCCACATTGATTTGCTTACCACAGGAGCTTTCAGAGGCAATTGTTTGTGTCCATTTTACAAAGGAAAAACTTGAGGACAGAGAGCTTAAGAAACTTCTTCACTGCTACATAGCTATTAAAGGATGGTGCTAGAGTTAGTCCTCTCATGATCCTACTTCCATATTGAATGCACTTTACATTCTGTTTTGACAAGTGGAAAGATCTGAAAGACGTGAAGGAACATACCTGAGTGTAACAAGGGGGTTTAGAAGCAAGGAGAGAGAGAGAAAGAGAGAGAGAGAGAGAGAGAAGCATCAGGTAAACATGGCAATATTTGCTGTCTAAGATCGGATGGGCATAGGGCTAGCTGTGTGCTCTAAGGGGTCAAGTGCATACTGTGGCATCGTCATTTCATAGGTGTGCCCATTTGAGTCCCAGCTGCTCCTCTTCTGACCCAACGTCCTGCGAATGCACCTGGGAGGGCACGGAGGCCAGCCCGAGGCTCTTTGCTTCTAACTGGCCCCGTCCTGGCTGTTGTGGCCATTTAGGGAGTGAACCTGTGGATGGAATGTGTCTATTTCTCCCTCTTTGCCTTTCCAATGAACAAAACAAATTATAAGGAAAAAAACGATCAGAGTATAAATTATAATTATTAAACAAATTGTGATTGGGTTTCCATAAAAATGAAATCATAGAAGGGGTGTCATTATAGCCATTTGGCAGACTTGAGTAGGGCTCTGTGTAAATGCTTGTGCCTAGCTTATTTTTAAAACTTGCTTTTAAAAAAGATTTATTATTTTTTTAATTTGAAATGCAGAGTTACAGAGAGAGAGACACACAGAGAAAGACATCTGTGGGTTCACTCCCTAAATGGCCACTGATGGTTGTCCTGGGAACCAGAGGAGGGTAGAGCTTGCTTCGAGCCCAAGCTCGGGCTGCAATCTGGGTAGGACGGTAGAATTCTGGCGGGCCCCTGAAGCAGCGAAATCATTGCTCCACCAATGAAGGGCTGAAGCAATTCAGCTTCTGTGTCTCCATCACATCTGTTTTTCTACTACACAGGGAAGGAAATCCCGTGACCGCGGTTCCCTGGAATAAAGGCCATCTAAATTCATTTTATGCATTTGTCTGAGGTATTCTTTCCCTGATGGCTGGTGAATCTTACAGCCACAATGGCTGGAGCTGAGCCCATCAGAAACGAGGGGCCAGGAGCTTCCTCTGGGTCTCCCAAATGGATGCAGGGTTTCAAGGATTTGGGCCATCCTCTGCTGCTTTCCCAAGCTATAAACAGGAAGCTGGAAGGGAAGTGGAACGGACAGGACACGAACCAGAACTCACATGGGATGTCGGCACCACAGGCAGAGGATTAGTGGGCTACACCTCTGTGTCAGCCTTTTGCCTAGTTATCAATCAGTTCTAAGAGACCCAACTTCTTGGTAATATCAGATTTCTCTCCGTTTGGATGTAGCATTCTTATTGTTTCCGAAGTGTTATTGTGTGTGTGTGTTCAGACCGGATGCTGTAACTGATCTTCCAGTGGGTGCCCCTGAAAATCCCTGTGCGTTTTCCTGACTGATTCGATCTTGAAGTATATTTTACAGGCATTTTCCAGTTTGCTGCACGAGTCCAGGATCTGCCTTCGGTCTTGCCTTGGGGATTACATAGACTCACCAAAAAAACCCAAACTATTAGTGCTGGAGTCAGTTGAGAGGCTAGTAAACAAGCCACTCAGCAAACAAAACAACCTAACACCGCTTTTCCACCAAATTCTAACCTGTTCCTCAAGATTTGGCCCAAATCAGCCACCGTTGGTGCATTTCTAGTTGGGAATATAATAGTGTTGCTTCTTCCTCTTCTTCTTTTTCAGATTTATTAACGTGAAAAGCAGGGTTACAGACACACCCACACAAACACTCGGAGAAAACAAGATGGAAGTCTTCCACGTGCTGGTCCACTCCCCAGTGGGCAGCTGTGTCCAGGGCTAGGCCAGTGGGAAGCCAGGAGCCAGAAACTCCATGCCAGTTTCCCACGTGGGTGCAGGGCTCCAGGCACCCACACCATCACAGGCTGTCTTGCGGCTCAGCAGAAGAGGAGCGAGGAAAGGGGGCAGACAGGACCCCACCAGAGCTCATTTAGGATGCTGGAATAATGGCAGGATAACTGGTGATTTTGGCCTTTGCCATTTCATCACCATCACAAAGCATTTGGTGGACTTTGCTCAAGTTAGCCTTCAGTGATGTTTTTCTTTTCCTCCTCCCCCTCCTATATGCATACGTATATATGCATATAAAGTCTCTTCCATGTAAGTAAGTGCAATCACAGCGTGCAGGAGCCATGCGCGAGGCTTCCTTCACTTTGTCCCTATTTGCAGATCCCTGCACGTGGTGGGTGCACAGCATTCCTCAACCGATTCAGCGAGGGCCCCCGGCGGGACGGCCGGTTCCGGATTGGAACGCGGCGCCGGACGCAGAACTGGTGTTTGGCAACGCCCGGCCGATCTCTTCTCCACGCCAGCCCTTCCTGTCCGGCCCAGCCCGCCTCCCTTGACCCCAAACTCACAGCAGCCGGGGAGGGCGGGGAGGGAGCCGGCTGCAAGCAGCGCGGGGCATGCCGGGCGCGGCCCAGGTGGGCAGGTGCCTGGGCGGGGCGTGCCGTGGTTGGCGGCGGGGCGCGGGGCGGCGGCCGCGGGGGCCGAGCACCCGGAAGAGCCGTCAGCTCTGCGGGCGCAACAGGCGGCTGGCCGGGGGCCGGAGGCGGCGGCCATCGGGCCCGGGATGGACAAGCTGAAGAAGGTGCTGAGCGGGCAGGACACCGAGGACCAGAGCGGCCTGTCCGAGGTGGGTGTGCCCGGCCCCACTCCGTCTCCGCTCCCGCGCCCCTCGCCAGCCGAGGGGTCTCCGCAGCCCGCGCGCTCCTCCCGCGCCCGTGGATGCGGCTCCTGGAGAAGCCGAGCAGGATTTCCAGGATTCCTTGGAAAGCAGCCCTGCCCCTTCTCCTTCCTCACTCCGCGGCCCGGCTCAGCGAGGACCCCCGAGCCAGGGGCGGGAGCGCGCCGGGCCGTCGCCATCCGTGTGCCCTTTTTTGTGGTGGTTGTTCTGCGCCTTCCCAGCTTGGGAAGAGGGGGCGGCGCTGGAGACCCACAAGCGGCTACGAGAGGGAGGGAGGGCTGGCGAGTAGGCCCTGGGCGGCCCCTTCGCTCCCACCAGGGACTGTCCCGGGTTGCCCTGGGCAGGGCAGAGGCCCCGAGCCGAGATGGAGAGAGAGCCGTGGTCCCGGGCCGGGCTGGGCAGGGGTGGCGGGGACCTGGGGCTTCCTGACTCGCTGGCCGCCTCGCACGCAGTGCCCGGCAGGTTTAGGTTATGGGGTGGACTCTCCTACCTGGCCGAGGGCTCTTGGCGATGTAGCCTCACAGCCGGCTCCACGACCGAGCCTCGAACCCCCTACGGACCGGGGACTGGTAACTGCGTCGCGTTTCTCTGTTGTCCGCCCTCACTGCAGACTCTCTCGAGACTGCCTGCTCAATTGTTTATTGTGTTAGGAAGGCTCTGAATCCACACGGAATCGGTGTTTCTATCTTGAATGCTTTCAGCGTTTGTTTTCTTGTCCCTCTCTGGATGTCAGAGTGGCATCTCTCTCTTTGGTGTGTTCCGCGGCCGCAGTTTTCCCGTGTAGGAGATGAGGGTGTTGAACAAGGCAGTGACAGCCGCTTGCAGCTGGAAACTTGAATTTTCGCTCTAAATGAAGTCTCTTGTTTTTCTCAGCGTGCTGCTTTCCCACTTCGGTGGCTGCTGGTTTTATTTTGTGTTTTGTTCTGCGTGCTGCTAGTGCTGCTAGCAGTCCACTCGCTCTGTGAAATCTCAACCTCAAATGTGTTCTTTGTATCTTTACCTTTTAGGGATCAAGGGTTACAAGAATGAAGTTGGACTCTTAAAAAAAAAAGTTCTATTGATTTATTTGAAAGGCCAGGGGAAGGAGATGTTCCATCTCTTGGTTCGCTCCCCAAATGCCAGCCACGGCTGGGACTGGGCTACACGGAAAGCCAGGGACCCTGACATCTGGGTCTTGCACTTGGTGGCAGCCAACCCGTGGACTTGGGGCCATCCTGTGCCATTTCCCAGGGTGTGTATCAGCGGAGAGCTGGATCAGAAACACCCTCGGAACCTGGTTCTGAACTTGCAATCCGGAATGTTGGCAGTGCCCAGCAGGTGTACTAGTTTGACTGTTTCAAAGAACTCAGATTTTTTTTTTTTAATGTATGACCTTTATTAATTGGTTAAGGCTCTTTCATTTCTGGTCTCTCATGAGCTCTTAGACTGTGCCTAAGAAAGATCTGCCACTCGGATCGTTGGCCCTTGTTACTTGGAAGCCTCACGTCCCACTGACTGCCACCAAACTTAGGAGCCACTGGTGCTTGAGAGGGAGACCGTAGGAGCCCACGTTGTGGTGTAGTTGATGCACCCCCCCCATTCTGTAACGGAATGCTGGCTCAAGCTCTGGCTGCAAAGGCGCCTGGGAAAGCAGTGGAAGATGGCCCCAGTCTGTGGGCCCCTGCCACCCACAAGGGAGACCCAGATCGAGTTGCTGGCTTCAGGTGGGCACGGCCCTGATTGTTGTGGGCATACGGGGGAATGAACCAGTAGGTGAAGATCTTCTTTCTGTATCTCTCTGCCTTTTAAATCAATAAGCGCATCATAAAGTCTTCTCTTCCTGAAGATGCTGGGGGTGGCATGGATACTGTACATTCGAACATCTTTGCGAGTCAGTGGACAGGCCCTCCAAAACGAATGGTACAGGGGCAGTTGGAAATCATACCTGCTATTTTTTTTTTTTTTTCCTTCTCTGAAGTGGAGGAGGCAGTGCAGGGCTTTAAGGTGTGGTCAGCTTGCATATGTAGTAAAGCTCTTTAGAGAAAAGTGGATGCAGCTCTGTTCTGAACTAGAGGTCCCCCTTTCTGAGAGAGGCTCGCTTTGCGTGGGTCTTGTGCAGGCTGGGAAGCGTGTTGTAGCAGCTGGCTCGTTGTCAGGACTTAGTTTTTCCTTATTAGCTTGGGCCCTGAGCCCGTCGTCTCCTGTTTTTCTGAGGTGGACTCTATGGTAGCATTCTTGTGTGGTGGGTTGCACCAGTTACCAAAGCGACTGCCTTTCCCATCTTTCGCCGTTTAAAGTCGTCATCGAGGTCGGCCTGGTTCTGTCTTCCCCGCCCCTCTCGGGTTTGCCTGGCTGTGCTGACTGTAAATAGCCGCGTGATGAGTGTTCTAATGGATACCTCGCCTACCTGAACACACCTCCCGTGGTTAGTCTCGGTGGACTCATTCCTGCAAGTGCAGGTTGTGTGTTTCTCTCAAGGATGCTGGGGACCTGGGAGGTGTGCATGCCGAGTGCCAGGAAGAGAGCCACGGTCCTTTCTCACCTTCATCTGGTGACTCTCTGAATAATTCTAAGCCTTACATTTTTGGCAAGAGCTCCTCTCCTCTCCGTATCCTGGAGTGAAAGGCACCTTTGTGTGTGTAGCTGCCGGTTGGCCAGTGAGCGCATGGCCTGCAAGTTCTATCCAGGTGTGATTGCAGCCTCTCTAATTTCTCCAACAGGGCGTGAGCACAGATTCCAGCAGCTGTGAATTTAGGGGGCCATCTTGTGTTCGCTCCATTGATTTTTCCACAGTTAGTGTGATGGAGTCCATCATGCTGGAAGTCCAGCCTCCTTCTTCCTGTGCAGGAATTTGTGGTCCCGGTTGGATGGCTTCAGCCTGGAGGACATGAAGCCAGTCCCAAGTGGCAGTTTGTGCAGTAGGAACCGGAGGCAGGCTTTGGTGGAAGTACTTCCTGTTGTCAGTGATTTGAGTTCTTATGGGGGCTGGGATCTCATTGTGCTTGGAGACCATTTAGACTTCCACATGCCAAGGTCAATTCCAATTTGCTACCCAAACCTATGGATTTCCGTCTTCAGGCCGGGACGGGGTGGGACTAGAATCTTTGTGTATCTGTTGATGTCAGGTAGTGCTCAGGGAACCGATCCAACCAGTCCTGCTGGCTGCTCTGCCGCACACAGCTCTGCTCCTCGGTTCTTGCCCCAGTAGGACCAGTGGTCCTTGTCCTTGTCCTTGTTCAGCCGGTCAGTCAGAGGTGCCCTATCTGACCATCTGGGCCAGCTAAGTCTGCTAGTAGAGGCTCCCCTCAGGGCTTGTTTTGGAATCAACGGAGTTGAGGGAAGCAGACTGCTCCGTGGAGCCCAGTGGCTGGCTCATCTGTCATATCCAGCTCTGCTTCCTGCTCCGTGGCACTGTCCTTAGGTGTGCCTTCTGGCAGGGACATCGATAGCCATGAGTTTTCTGCGTGTGTGTGTGTGTGTGTGTGTGTGTGTGTGTGATGTTGCAGTATTTATGATCCCATTTCAATGTGTCACCCTATGCGGTGGGAAGGGGGCCTCTCTCTGTTGACCTAAATTCCTTTCTCCTGGGTGGAGGTCAAATCATTCCTTAGTGACACCTGCCACAGCTGGGGGAGCCCTTCTTCCCGCTCTGTGTGCTTCTGGTTGGACCGGAAGTTGGGAGACAGGGTCGAAAACAGCATCCTGAGGCAGCAGGAGCTGTCAGTCTAGTGACTCCGGAAGCTTCTGCCACCATCTGCCTTACGCCGTTGGCCACGTGAAAGTATGGCTAGCACCGCTGAGCCCAGTGTCTGATGCTGGCTGTGCTGGCCCCACGAGGGGTGCCCTGCCTTGGTCTCATCTCTCCTGGCACCTGCCTGTGTGCAGCTTGGGCCTGCCTCACAGGTGGACAGACAGACAGGGAAGGCCTCTGACACGGGGACATAAGTGTTAGGGCTCTCCTGTTTCAACGAACTTTTGCTGGGTATCGTGGCTCCCCCTGGACTTGGTTCTGATTAACCACCAGCACAGGCAAGGCAGTGACTCACTGGGATCTGCCCCACGCTTGGGGGACTTGGCTGAGGCCAGCACCCTGGGAGTACAAAATCAGCACCCAGAGTGAAGGACATGGGTGAGTCAGCTGCCGGAGGACGTGGACTTTCCCCCTGCCAGGTCCCAGGAGAGCCACTGCCACAGCCTGGCTCCCAGATGCAGGGGAGGGTGACCAGGGCTCCTAGCACCCTCAGTGCCATCCGCCACAGCCATGCTGGACGTGTCTGGGCCTTGCTGGCTGCCGTGGGGGGCTTTGGGCAACACTGGCTTGGCTGACTGGCTGCCCTGATGGAGCTGGGAGGCCCTAGGGCTGGAGGTGTTCAGACACCTGCAGGGTGAGCTCTTATCAGCTGCTTCCTTTCTGGATCTGAGCTCCCAGCTCTGATAAGAGCTGGATTCCGTGACTGCTGTGGCTCCGAGCAGGCTGCGCTGTGCATGCCCTGCCTTCTCCAGTCTGGATGAACCTGTCAGAGTTTCATTGTGTGTTTGTTGTGTCCTATGCCTGCATTGGACATCATGTGAGTGCGTAATTCTTTTTTTTTTTTTTTTTTTAATTTCAGGTCATCGAGGCGTCCTCGTTAAGCTGGAGTACCAGGCTTAAAGGCTTCATCGCCTGCTTTGCTATAGGAATTCTCTGCTCTGTCCTGGTAAGCGCTCTCTCCCTCCTCGCTTCGTTCTGCGGTGTCTTTCTCCTTCACCTATCTCCTTTTCTTGCCCTTTGCTAAAATGCGCGGATCAAGAGAGAGGAGGAGGAGGGAGGCCGCAAGCTAGAGGTTACCCAGGCTGCGTCCGAGTTCCTGGCTTTGTGGTGGGGTTGGAGGTGTTACTGGTGTCAGATGCCGTGTGCTTTGTCTTGCAGGGGACTCTTCTGCTGTGGGTGCCCGGGAAGGGACTGTCCCTCTTCGCGGTGTTCTATACCTTTGGCAATATCGCATCCATCGGGAGGTAAGCAGTGAGCAGATGGGACGGTGGGTGTGCCGTGGGCTTCAGGGAGGTGGCAGTGGAGCGGGCTGTAATCCTTCCACTAGTTTAAGCAGCAGAAAGGGTAGTTAGACCACCGGCTAGTCATATCCTACTATTTCCAAGTGTTTTATTTCCTGCTTTATCTTTGAAACACCCTTGATGTAAAGCAGGCAGTCTGGTACCACTGTGATTTTATTTATGAAGCAGCTGTGTGACAGTGGGTGAACGCTCTCCGGGTCTCCCACACGCATGCAGGGTCCCAAAGCTTTGTGCCGTCCTTGACTGCTTGCCCAGGCCACAAGCAGGGCTAGCTGGATGGGAAGTGAGTATCTGTGGTATGATCTTGGCGCATGCAAGACAAGGACTTTGAGCTGCTAGGCTACCGCACTGGGTCCAGGTGTCCCTTTTCTAAGTTGTGTGCCGAGCCTTGTCGGCTGGTTGGTTGGTTTCTGTGGGTTGGTTGTCTGGGGTCAAGGCGGCTGCAGGGGAAGGGATCACGTGGTGGGAGGACTGTGACTCAGTTTATAGCTGAGCCCTGTCCTTTGCTGGTGGGGTGGTCTGAAGCATAAGCATATGTGGGTTGTAGATGAGAATCAGGTACACAAGACTTTCCAGCAAAGGCAGGGCTTTTCACATGCCAGCTGCTGTTACTGCTGCCGTGGGTACAGGAGGTCCAGGGCGGTGACTCGGTGAGCCTTGTGTTGTCTGTCTTGCTCTGATCGCCTTGTGTGTGTTTACCTCTTAGCACCATCTTCCTCATGGGCCCGCTGAAACAGCTCAAACGCATGTTCGAGCCCACGCGTTTGATTGCCACGATCATGGTGCTGGTAAGCCCTGCTTTTTTGTTGGACTTCCCAAGTGGGAGTTTATGCTTCTGTGACACGGAATTGTTTTCCCTCGTAAACCCAAGGATCTTCTTTCTCCCTTGCTCGTGACTTACTGCTGATTCTGCAGCTGCGTGGCTGAAGGGGGCCTTGCGTGTGGGGGCAATCCCGCCCTCCCCTCTTTTCATCAAGGTACTAGCAGTTCTACGAAGGGCCTCTAGAGGGCGATACTTGCCAAGTGGGCCCATCTGATCAGGAAGCTTTCCTTGTGCTAGCCGAGCAGACTCCACGCAGAAGGCCAGTACTCATCCCCCCGGGATGGGACTCCCATGTCTGTTAGGATGGATTGCCTGTTTGTCCATCATTACTTGACACCAGGACCACACTGACTCCATTTTGTCAGTCTTCACGAAGTGGGAGGGTCTCCCTGTGGCCCGCGTCCTGTGCCCCTCCCTGACAACACAGCCTTTGTTATTGTCCCGTCTGCTTGTTCCGTTGACCCAGAGCGCGTCTCCCTTCTGTTGCCTGGGCTCGGCCATGTGACGTCAGAAGCATTCCCACCCACCTCACCAGGTTCTTGTTAGCATGATTAATATCACAAGTAGAACTTGATCAACATACTTTTTCAGTGTTAGTGTCATCTGTGTATATTTCATTTGTCCAGACAGGTAGATTCTCGAAGGTCATGGCCATGTGTGCTGTTTGTTTCCGCTTAGTGCACTGGTCAGGATACAGGACGTTGGAAAACACCGGAGCCGTAATTTATGGGTTGTTACAGTTACTGAAGCATGCCGATGAAAGACATGGCTGGCAGCTCACACACCCATTGGTTTTGGATAGTGCCACGTGTAGATGGCTTTGATAAGTCTTTTGTAGAAAGAACTTTCCAGGAAAGAAGTTAACAAAAGAATTGAGTGGCCTGTAAACTAGCGCCTGGCTTGTTGCCTAGGAGGTTAACACCTTGTTCTCGTTGCTCATTCTGCTACAAAGACGAGTGTTTGATAAGAATTAAAATGCAGGGGTTTATATCCAGAATTAAAATTATATCAAACCATTGTGTGCCATTGTCTTGGCTAGAGGAAACTAAAAAGACTTGAGCAGTACATTTACTTACCATTTATGATAACTTGGAAATAAATGTCATATTGTTGAAGTATTTGCAGAACTCACACTCTGGGACTTACAAAGTCCCAGATGACGACACAACGTGTACGTTAGTGGTTGTGAACGAAAAGGTGGAGGGATGAATGGCTGCACTGAAAATGCGATTTTATCCACTGGGCAGAAATTCAGGGAAGACTCCGAAGAAAAGCAACATCGCTCTCTCTTTAATCTATGTGATTCTCTGTTGGCGAGTTTGATTTCATGGGGATTTGTTTTTAAAAAGATTTACTTATTTGAAAGGCTGAGTGATAGAGGGAAAAGGGGAGAAGACAGATCTTCCATCTGTTGGTTTACTCCCCAGATGGCTGCCGTGGTCTGAACTGGGCCAGGCAAAGCCGGGAGCCTGGAGCTCCGTCCAGATCTTCCACATGGGAGGCGGGGGCCCAGTGCCTGCGCTGGTGTTCACTGCCCTCCCAAGTGGATTCCCAGCAGATTCCCAGTGGATTCCCAGTGGATTTCCAGCGAGCTGGGTCTGAAGCACAACAGCTGGGATTTGAAGCTGTGTTCTGACGTGGGATGCGGGTGTTGCACACGGCAGCTTGATTTGCTCGTGGAGACTGGAGCTCTTCTGCCAAGCACGGGTACTCAGTGGGTTCAGTGTTTTGAAATGAAGGATATGCTTGGTTGCTGTGATAATCAGAACTGGATAACTGAAAGCCTGTGAGAATGCTGAATATATATATATATATATATCAAGACTAAGTCTTCCCAGTCTTTATTTGTTTACTTTTTGCCCTGTCGTCGTCATCGTGACATTGAATCCTGTGTCCTTCCTCCTTTGCAGTTGTGTTTTGCGCTGACGCTGTGTTCTGCCTTTTGGGTAAGCACGTGTTTTACTCTCCCCTGCCCTTTCTCACGTTGCCTGTGGTCACATGCACGCCTCTAACCGTGTCATTTTGCTTGCAGTGGCGTAACAAGGGGCTTGCGCTCATCTTCTGCATTCTGCAGTCTTTGGCCTTGACGTGGTAAGTAATCTTTAAAGCCATCTCTTCCCACGCAAGCCTCTGACTAACGCAGCTGGGAGAGAGGACACCCACATGCCGTGGTGGGAGGCTTGGGAAAACATGGCAGCTTTGCAGCTGAGGAGTTCTCAGTGGTGCAGGTGAAGGCTTGCCAGCAGAAGGCTGTCTGCGCGGCCCACTGCCAAGAGATGGCAGTATTGGTCTTGGTGGGTCACTGGAGGGCCTGTGTGTGGTAGCTGCAGCATTTTTTGCTGGGCTTGTGGATGGCTTTCGGTGTTTCTGATATCATCAGTTCTCTTTAGTGAGCGCTAGGACGAAGCAAGTGGTGGGAACTCTGCTCAAGAGATGCTTGTGAGATGGACAGCAGTGAATGAGGGGAGGGGCCCGAGAGATCCGGACAAGAGTGGTTGGTGAGCAGCAGGTCAGGAGTGTGGCTGGAAGCACGGGCCGTGAGCCGGAGGACCCGTGCACACGTTGGAGGCCTGTGGCTTTTGGGAATTCAGGTGCAGTCTTGAAAGTTACAACTCCAGGGCCTGGCAAAGAGAGAGGGCTACGGGGGACCTTACTGTTTAAAAGTGTGATTGGCACTGCACGGATTGAATTATTTGGAAGTCAAAGTTACAGAGAGAAAGAGTGAGCGAGAGAGTGTGTCCCTCTGCTGGTTCGCTCCCCAAATGGGTACAGCTGCCAGGTCCGGAATGGGGCTGCTGCCAGCTTCCAGAAAACTCACCAGTTCTCCCGCATGGGTGGCAGAAGTCCTTGGGACCATCCCGTGCTGCCTTTTCAGGTGTGTTGGCTTTCACTGGCTGTGCCACAGCGATGGCCCTAATGATCTGGGTTTAATATCGACACACACATTTTTGCAGTAGACACTGAAAGGACCTGGTTGATGGTGAACATTTATATTTCATTTTTTGTCTTGTGGAAGAATCTGGTATCCACATACATAACATACACCCTCCCCCCCACCCCCCCCATCTTTGCTGATTTTGGAAGCACAGCTTTGAAGTTCGCCATTTCTATCGACTCGGGGGAACCGTGACTTCACTGCTGACCCTGGCATATTCTGACTATTTTCTTCTCCTCGGTGAGGCCTGCCTAGTGTCCTGTCTGACCTGTAAGAGCTGATGTTTCCTGTCTGCCCTGGCTGAGCTGGCAGTGGCTCGCCAAGATACCCTGGGCTTGGGCCTTTCTGCCCTGGCTGAGCTGGCAGTGGCTCGCCAAGGTACCGTGGGCTTGGGCCTTTCTGCCCTGGCTGAGCTGGCAGTGGCTCACCAAGGTACCGTGGGCTTGGGCCTTTCTGCCCTGGCTGAGCTGGCAGTGGCTCACCAAGGTACCCTGGGCTTGGGCCTTTCTGCCCTGGCTGAGCTGGCAGTGGCTCGCCAAGGTACCCTGGGCTTGGGCCTTTGAATCATCGTAGCTCTGATGGGTTTTTCAGTCCTGGAGTACCTGCTGGTGCTTTCCCACTACTTTTCTGTCCTCTTTTACAAAGTCATAGGATCGGAGCAGAAAATTAATCCACAGGAGGAGAAGCTAAATCTGCTGAGGGTTTGTAAACGGGTGTGTTCTTTCAGAATAGGGCTCCTGTGCCATCTGGATACCTGGCAGCCAGGAAGGTGATTGCTACTGGCTTTTTTGGTTAAGGCCCTGGTTATCTCACAGAGGTCTTTTTTGCCTTTCTGTTGTGGCCACCCAGCTGCATACACGGCGTGTGTGTGTGTGTGTGTGTGTGTGTGTGTGTGTGTGTGTATTACACCCCAGGCCCAGGACAGGGAGAGTCTGGACAGGTCATTACTGATGCTCTGACGGCTCGGGGGTTGCCGGGTAATTCTGCGCTCCTGCCATGTGATTCAACCTTCTGTTTGTGTCTCATAGGTACAGCCTTTCCTTCATACCCTTCGCAAGGTAAGACGGCTTAGGAACGCAATTTCTGTGACCCGAGGGTGATAATGTTGGCACGGGGCCTTTTAGAAGGGTTCTGTTGTTTTGCTTATTGCTACTAAAGCCCTTTGAGGCAGAGGCAAACGTTTGTGTATGTATGTGTGTGTATAGATGAGTGGCTGAGGGTCACCCTTGCACCCACCCTGATTGTAGGAGATGAGTTTATTTTGGTGCAGAATGTCTGGAAAGCCTTACATCATTTTTTTTCTGTAATGCACACATTCCATGGGCTTCTTGATGATCCCCTGCTACGGGTGATGGTAGGGCTGGCCTGGACCATTGTCTCCTGGCGTCATCCATCTTCTGTGATGACGGCTCCTGTGTGCAGTGTGTAGCTGTGAGGTCCTCCCCCCTCCCCCCAGTGACTCTCACCTAGTGTCAGTGAAGAAGAAACAGAATCTCGGCTTCTGCTTGTTTCCCCACAGTATCGCACTTCGGGAAAGTGTCAGAAGAGCTTATAAAAGGGGAGGTAGCAAGGCAGGCCTTCCTGGGTAGCAGGGTGGCCTGGGCCTCCTCAGAGGCCTTTTCCTGCTGGACCTCCTCCCTACGTAGGCACTTTTCATAGTGGGCCTCTCCGAGTCGCTTTGCCTCTGACGCTGTCTAATGCAGCCACGTGATTTCAGTTCTCTGTCGTGACCTGTTAACTTGAAGCCTGTGTGAGCTGGGCAGAGGGGTGATCCACTGTATTCCTGCTGCTTTCCAAGTCGCCTGCTGGCAGTGGCTGATGGGGTGGGTTGTGAGCAAACTCCTCATGTTAAAGGTGTGCTAAAGCTCGGTGCCTTCATGGACGGCCCTGGGGGGCTAGATGGAAGAATTTCAAGATGGCAATGTCAGGGCATGGTTCCAAATGCAGACCTCTCGAAGGCTGGGCCCAGCACTCACCCACGCTCCTGGGCTTGCCTGAGTTCAGACCCTTCGAAGGCTCTCAGCGCTCACCCACGCTCCTGGGCTCGCCTGGGTTCAGACCCTTCGAAGGCTGGGCCCAGCACTCACCCACGCACCTGGACTCACCTGGGTTCAGACCCTTTGAAGGCTGGGCCCAGCACTCACCCACGCACCTGGGCTCGCCTGGGTCTGTTCTTCAGGGTCACAGGCATACTCTGGATCAGCTTGTGCAGGGTTTCCAGATGAAGGACTGGGCCTGGGAGCTTCAAGGACTCAGCTCATGGCAGTTTCCCCTAGCAAGGAGGGAGCGTGGTGCTGGGTCCTGCAGTGCTGTCCAGTGTTTCTTTTTCTTTCTTTCTTTTTTTTTTTTAAAGATTTATTTATTTTTATTACAAAGTCAGATGTACAGAGAGGAGGAGAGACAGAGAGGAAGATCTTCCGTCCAATGATTCACTCCCCAAGTGAGCGCAACGGCCAATGCTATGCCGATCCGAAGCCAGGATCCAGGAACTTCTTCTGGGTATCCCACACGGGTGCAGGGTCCCAAGGCTTTGGGCCGCCCTCGATTGCTTTCCCAGGCCACAGGCAGGGAGCTGGATGGGAAGTGGGGCCACCGGGATTAGAACCAGCGCCCATATGGATTCCGGTGTGTTCAAGGCGAGGACTTTAGCCGCTAGGCCACGCCTAGCGGGCCCTGTCCAGTGTTTCTTACTGCATTCCACAGCAGTGTGTTGATGCGGCAGGAAAGAGCTCTCTGGGGTAATAGTTTTGGGTAAATCACGTGGGTTCCTTGTGGCCTGGCTTTCCCCACCCTTCAATCTGTTGTGTATTGTGAGCCGCCACAGGGAGCACTTCTCTGCCACCAGAACATCTTGTCTACAGTGCAGAGTGGATCTCAGGCAGTGCACCCTACGGTCACATTGTGTTACAGCAAAGTGCCTGCTTACAAAGGCATGTTGGCTCACCTCTCCTTGCCTCATTTCACTCCCAGTGTCTTCAGTCCCAGAAGGGGAGGTGGTGGTACAGGAGGTGGTGGCGGTGGTGATGGTGGCCGTGGTAGAGGTGGTGGCAGTGGTGATGGTGGTGATGGTGGAGGTGGTGGTGATGGTGGAGGTGGTGGCGGTGGTGATGGTGGTGGAGGTGGTGTTGATGGTAGAGGCGGTGGTGGTGGTGGAGGTGGTGGAGGAGGAGGTGGTGGCCGTGGTAGAGGTGGTGGCAGTGGTGATGGTGGTGGAGGTGGTGGTGGTGATGGTGGTGGCGGCGGTGATGGAGGTGGTGGTGATGGTGGGGTGGTGATGGTGGTGGAGGTGGTGGTGATGGTGGTGGAGGTGGTGGTGATGGTGGAGGTGGTGGAGGGTGGTGGTGATGGTGGAGTTGGCGCTGGTGGAGGTGGTGGTGGGTGGTGTGTGTAGGGGAGAGTGGTATGGGTCGGGAGGAGGCTTGCTGGCACTGAGGAGTAGCTGTGAAGGCTGCCAAGGCCTTGTGCCCCCTGCACTGACTTCTAAGGAGTAGATGCCCAGTGCCCAGCGCCTGCAGAGAAGCTCCTGATGGACATACCTTTAAGGCTGCCTCCGCTTGGTTGGAATGACGGAAGCCTCTCCGGAGGATTTGGCTTCAGGCTTTCAGTGTGTTCTGTGATTGTGGCTGATGGGAAATGTGACCATCCCGACCAATTTTCTGTTGCTGGCAATCTTTCTTGCTTTTCTGCTGACGGTGATAATGGCTGTCATTTATGACACATTTATTCTCACACCGGGTCTGTAGTGTGGGGGGCTGTCCCCTTTTAAAGAGGAAGCAGCTGAAACTCCTGGACCAGTGAGCTGTCCAGGAGAATCCTGCTAAGGAGTGTCGAAGCTGCAATTGGCTGCTCCAGCAGGTCTGACCTCGCCATCAAGCAGGTTTCCGCCCTGCGAGGTGGTCTGCAGACTCCAGGGGAGGGTCTTTGCTTGACACAGGACCATTGTCGGAGGGATGGGGTCCCACTCACCTCTGTGTCTTTTCCTCCCTAGAGATGCGGTGAAGAAGTGTTTCACTGTGTGTCTTGCGTGACACTGCCACTTCTGCAGAACGTGGGAAGGCTCTAGGGAGCAGCAGCTGGCGGGCGGCTGTAGGAATACCTCCTCCACTGTGTGTTACAGACGCGTGCCTTCACCTCGCAGCCGTGCTGCGGCCTGCAGCTTGGACATGGGAGGGTTGGTTTTGGGAGCAGCAGTGCCTTGCCCAAGCCCCGCTGCCTGTGGCACGGCCCGAGAGGTGGGTTCTGTGGCTCACGGAGTCGAAGCTTGCTCACGGCACCTGTGTCCTCCTTGGATGGTGTCCCATGGACTTCTCATCAACAAAGCCTTGTTCGCAGCGGCAGCACCTGAGGGCGACGATGGGACAACCCTGCCGGGGGTCACGGGATGTGAAAGCGAGAGGCACAGCTTGGGGGTCAGCAGGGACTTTGTCAACATGACAGCTGTCTCCGGTGCCACACGCAACGTGGTCCTGCTTCTGCTCTGTGTGTGAGAGCAAGTCATTCCGCTCCGTGTCAGCCCGGGGGAACTGGCCGTGGAAGAAAGCAGAATTTTTTTTTATTTTTTCATCTGAACATTGCCATTCTTGCTGTTTCCACTCTACACCGGCCTGCGTGGTCCATTTCCCAGCATTCCGCACAGGCTCCCCAGCCCTGTCGGCCTCTGCCCTGCACCCGGTCGGTACAGAGCAAAGCGCAGCAGAAAAGCATGGCTGGTTCCTGGTGGACAGGACATTGAGGAGAGGCGCAGAACCTCGCTGCTTTGTGCGGGTTATCGTCCCCTCGCTGTTTGCAAATGTTTGCTGTTAAGTGGCTGTTTATTTTCTGTTCTCTCTGGAGCGGGGCCAGGGGACCGTGGGCAGGGACAGGCTCCTTCTGGGCAGCCAACAGGAAGTAGCTACCTGAGCGGTGACCTTTACCCCGGCCCAGCCGTCACACGGGGAGGACACCGTGGACCGCAGCTGGTTCTGTCCCAGCCTGGTGCCTACCCACGTGCAAAGTGTGTATCTGCGAGGTGGCAGGCGTTGTTATCCCACTGTGCGGTCAGGAGCATCGAGGCCCAGGTTGGTGTCTGAACCCGCAGCTGCACAGAGCGGAGCCAAGCTGCTGCCCCGGCTTCAGGCTCCAGGACTCACTGTTGGCCCCGTGTTTCTGCTTGTGCCTTCTCTAACGATCCACCCAGGCCTGTGCCTTTCTGGTTCTGCTCTCTGAGTCACTGGTGACATCTACCTGACTCTCCCAACCTGTCTCCCCTTCTAGAAGCTTCCTTCTGGGTCCGTAGGCTGTTGTTGGTCCCTTGTTTGTCCTTGCAGTGCCTCTTTGCCCCAGAGCAAAGTTAGGGACTTTGTTAGGGACTCTGCTAGGGACTTAGCTTGATCAGCCGGGGTCCCTGACTCTCGGGGTCACCGTAACCCTAAGTCCCTCTGCTTTGTCTCTGTGCTCTACCCTGGGCCAGCTGGTCTGCTCGGGCATCTCCAAACCATGGGCACTGGCTCCCTGATGTTTTGTGTGTGTGTGTGTGTGTGGCCCTTGATCCATCATGGCCAAGAACTCAGACTGGCTGCTTTTCTTGCGAGCAGGCGAGATCTGCTGGCCCGGTGGGGACCAGTCGTCCCAAGCCCTGTTTAGGCTGTGCGGGTGCTGGCTGAGCTTCCTAACCCTCACTCAGCCAGGGAGGAGCGTCTTTTGCTGCCCTGTGGCTTCTGTGGGATTCTCTGGCACCAGCTCAGGCCTACAGGGCTGTGGGGTCAGGAATATACGATGCAAGTCAGTGCTGCCGGTTCCCCTCTGGAGTGGCTGAGAGGCCAGGCTGGTCACTAGGGGCTCCAGGCAGCCCGGAGTAATGCTGAGCCCCATGCCCCTGTCCGTGGCTGGACTTGGCTCTGGAGGACATGAATGAGACTGGGGTACCTTGTAATATTGCTAGGGTCATGTTCAATAAGCTCTGTAAGCTTTGGTTCCTCAGTTTTGCCTCTAAGATTCTTGCACAGTGACAGTGAACCAGGTGCTGTGTGCTTGGCATGGAACAAAGCATAGTCTCGTATGGGGAAGGTGTTGCTTCATCCCAGAAGTACGTGGTGACCCTTGAACTTGACGGATGAACATCTCTGACTATCGGTCTGTCTCACAAATATTTGTCTAGTACCCATTCATCTGGCGCTCTGGACAAGGTCGGATATCATCTCATTTAAAATTTGGGGTTAAAATTGTAGAGGAGCTTGCAGGTCAGGGACTGTTCCAGCTGTCCCCAGCAGAGGGCGCCAGAGGAGCCTTGGCAGGACGTGCTGATGGAAGGCTTGCTGTTTGCTCCCATCCTGGCCTGGGGTCCCCAGCTCCGACAGCTCCAGTCAGGACACCCACAGGATGCTCTAGACTCCTGATGTTTTCCTGCAGTTGCCTTAGCCTCTGGTGGCTTCATATAGACTGTGGGAGGAGGGAGAGGCCATTTCACATCTGAAACCTGTTACCTAGCAACAACACAGCGTCTGTAATCTAGTGGGCGGGACAGAGGCAGAGAATGTGGCTTGCGCAGTGTTAGGTTCCCCTGTGCCCCTGCCTCCACCTTGACCGCTGCCGGCTGGATGGAGGAGTGGTCAGTGCACTTAACCAAGGAAAGGAACCAGGGCTGTTGGCCCTGTAAGCCTTGCACGGGAAGAACGCTACCCCCAGTGCAGGAGGGCCGCCTGCCAGGCTCCCTGGCATCTGTTGCCAGGCGGTGGGCCTGTACTCTAACTCACCAGCCCCCTCCACCCTCTCCCAAGCTGAACTGCTCTAGAATATGCTCGGGAGAGCCCTGGCTTCGCCTGCCTTTGTATGGCCGCCGGTCTCAATCTAGTTTTACAAGCCTTGTGGCAGGGAAGGGTGAAACGCCACTCCAGTTGGCATCCCCGCTGGGTGGGCTGTCTCAGTGCTGGGACATCCGTCCCCCAGCCTGCTACAATGGCAGGATTGTGTGCCGAGGGTCACCTCCCTTGTAGTCACTGCATGCTCCCGCAGGCAAAAATAATTGTCACCAGGTACCTTCCAAGTAAAATCACATGTTAGCAATACCATTGCAAGTACCGGAAGTGGGCTGCCCCTGGAAAAGGTGGGAAGGCATTGGCGGTTTGGCTTCTGTTTTTGATGCCCTCTGTCGGGGACAGGCGGTGCGCTGGGAGTGGAGGAGTGGGCCACAGCACTGTGGCCAGGATGGTCGCCCCCCAGGCTGGCCCAGGCCTCCCCAGCTCCCTGCTCCCACACAGCCTGACAAGAGCCAGCTGTAGGATCACAACTGCCTTTAATGTCACAGCTGGGCCTGAAGCCTCATGTTCAGCAAACAAGCAAAAAAAAATCAGTGTTCAAAAAAATAAGTGAAGCAACTTTGCTAGATTTGGGGGGCAAAGTTTTTGAAAGAACCCATGAGTGCTTTTGTAAGCTTTGTAGTTTATTTTTTTAGGCAGCGTTTCCAACCACCTCTCAGGCCTTTGCCTGGAGTTACCTACAGTCTTTTGTTTATGTAGCTCTTGATGTCAAAAAACTTGAAGCCTGGATATTTTAGAAGGCCAGGAGGTGAGATGATGTGGCTTGAAAGTGTCTCTTAATGACCAGTCTTCAGAGATGTGCAGTTGGCCAGGTAGCCAGGACGGTGCGGGGCCAGGGGTTACTTGGTCACTGTCAGTAGGGTCCCTTGTTCTAGCGCAGTGGTGGAGGAGGCACCGTGCATGGCTCCTGCCTCACCTGGCTGCTGGAGTACCTTTCCTGGAGGAGCTGGGGAAGTGCTGAGGGGTAAAGATGGACCGACAGGATGGCTTTCTGTGGGCCGGATGAGCTAAAGCCAGGTGAAGGTTTGCGGTTTTAAAACGAAAGATCCATCTGCAGCATTGTAATGAACAATGACGCGCACATTCACAGTGAAGTCATGCTCCTGCAGGGAGCCAACAGCCACAAGAAGCAAGAACTAAATCAGAGGCACTTGCAGTCCCTGATGGGAAGGGTCTGGCAGGTGCCTGGACCTCACACCTTGCATGGCAGCCGTCAGCGTGCGGCCGAGGCGGGTGCCTGGACCCCACACCTTGCACAGCAGCCGTCAGCGTGCGGCCGAGGCAGGTGCCTGGGTACAGGCGTCTCTCTGCCTACCAGATGTCCACAGCACTGTGTTCTGAGTGTGACCGTGTGTGTCTCTGAAAGCAGGATTGGTTTAGTTTGTGTTGTGTGGTGTCTTGGCTATGAAAACGGATAGTCTTACTGCTTTGCCATGTGTTTGCTTGGATCCCGGAAGGACCAAAAAAAAAAAAAATTGCTCTTAACCCAAATCTTTGCCATATGTTATTTGGTGATGACGGCCTGGAGTGGGGTTGTCGCACAGCCTGCGGGGAGTTTACACGCCTTCGGAATACTCTCTTCTCACAGGGTGAGCATTGAAAACACTTTGTTAAAACATGAATCCATTTTTCTAATTGCAGACATACTCGTGGCTAATTTTGAATGCTACCAATTACGTAACTGAATTTTTATATCTAAAAATATATTCTTGAGTATGATTTTTTTTGTAACTCGAGGATCTATTTCATATAATAAATGCCGTTTTCCTTTTACTAACGTTTCCCAAAGAACTCTGCCTGATTACTAAACCGCCCCGCCCCAATCACAATGATCAATTTGCTTCTTTTCTTCTCCAATAAATGTTAGTGGTATGATCTTTAATAAACACAGTGTCATTTCTTATTCCTGTCTCGTTCCGAAAGTCACGAAGCTATGTGAAGGTTGTATGACTGAGCAGACTGTATTCTTCATTTGAATTGTCAGTCGATGGGCAGTAAAGGATGGGTATGTAGTCCTGTCTTTGAAATGACATGGGTCTAAGTGGCTGTAGGAATGGTTTTGAATGCTTTTTGCCAGGTAAGGAGTTACCCTTAGGCTATTTTTGAGTATTTCTACACCCTAGCTGGTGTAACTGCTCTGTGTGATTCCATTGCTATTCAAGTGGTTTCTATTAACCCGGTCCTCCAGTATCTGTAAAGCTTTGTACTGAGGTCCCACCTCTTACTGCTGATATTGGTAATTTGAGTCGTCTTTTTTTTGGACCTTGACTAGTGTAACTAAAAGATTTTATCAGTATTTTGTAGTCTTTTTTGTTTGTTGTTTTTAAAAGATATTTATTGAAGGAGTTACAGGGAAGCGCACACAGAAAGATCTTGCCTCTGCTGCTTCGTTCCTAAAGGACTGCCATGAGGCCATGCGGGTGGCAGGCACCCACGCACGTGAACCAGCCCTCCCAGGTGGGCAACAGGCACCCACCAAACACATGAGCCAACCCTCCCAGGTGGGCGACAGGCACCCACACATGTGAGCCAGCCCTCCCAGGTGGGTGACAGGCACCCACGCACGTGAGCCAGCCCTCCCAGGTGGGCGACAGGCTCCCACGCACGTGAGCCAGCCCTCCCAGGTGGGCGACAGGCACCCACACATGTGAGCCAGCCCTCCCAGGTGGGCGACGGGCTCCCACCAAACACGTGAGCCAGCCCTGCCAGGTGGGCAACAGGCATCCACCAAACAGATGAGCCAGCCCTGCCAGGTGGGCGACAGGCTCCCACCAAACACGTGAGCTAGCCCTCCCAGGTGGGCAACAGGCACCCACATGTGAGCCATATGCTGGTTTCTCGGATGCGTTAGTAGGTAGCTGGACCTTAAGGAGCTGCCAGCACAAGATCCTGGCAACCAAATGGGATGGCGACCCTGCAGGTGTTCTGCCTGACAGAGGCTCCAGTTGATCTTTGCGAAGAGAACCCAGGTAAGGTTGGGTGAGAACGTGTGTTCTACGTGAGAACACAGTAGAATGAAGGAAGACGGATCAGTGGAAAACAAGAACATGGAGTATATACTGTAGTGGTGTAAGTTTTTTAAAAGGTCAAATAAGTATAGATTTAAAGATGTCTTCCTCCCTGACATGATGGGACGTGATTGGCCTGTAGGGTCAGTGACAGCTCTGGGACGGACTGAGGAAAGTGGCCGAGGGGACCACAGGGGCCGCGCCTGTGGCCGTGGAGCTTACCAACTTTCCCTGGCATGTGGCAAGTCATACTGTGTTTTTTGTTGGTGTGCTTTTCCAATATGTTTTACAATAAAAGAATTACTACGGGTTGTCTATTGTGCAGCTTATTTTTCTCTCTGTATTATTTTCTTCCCTTGTTTTCAAAAATATTTTTAAATTTATCATTTTTTAAAAATGATGATTATCTGGTTGATCAAGTTGGGAAGGGTCAAGGTTTAGGGAAAATTGAGTGAATTCATTGCTTCCAAATTCGCCATTTCTTCTTGTTGTTCCTGTGGGAAGGGGAGAGACAAAGGGGGAAACCACTCACGACTTTGCACACGGCCCAGTACCGGGGATGAGGAACCGCCACCTCGTATCAACCCAGAGTCTCAATGTGTACGTATTCCAAAGGTTCTGTCCAGGTGGTTTGGTTCTGAAATGCTTCCTATTTCACCTATCCAAGCGTGATGTCACCCTCTGCAAGTCCATTGGCTCCATTCACTGACATTTTTTGCTGTCATTGTTTGGGGAGTTGTCCAGTTCTGTTCTTCTGCTACAGCACCAAATGTGCTGCCTTATTCTCTTTCTACAACAGGGCCTGTATCCACTGCTCCACCTTTTTCATTAAGTAGGGCATGTTCTTGCAGGCAAATCCAAGTAGCTGGGCCAGGTGTCCCAAGCATCACCGAATCCCACCCCCTCCCCGTTGGGGCTCACGAACTTGGCATCCACTTACTAGGTAGGCCCCAGGGCCAGGGACGGGAGACCCAAGCCCTGCCAGATTCCCCACC